TGAAATCGCTGTACATGAGATATCTTATATTTTATTTCGAAATATGTTAGATGTAAATAGCTTTTGTATTTGTAAAGAGTTTTAGTACAATAAAATATTGTAGGTTTATATCGTTTCATAATTGATTATTATTCCTTTATTAACTTGATAATTTTTGATATTGGTAAATGAGCAGTTATATAACTTATATTTTCAAATAAAATAAATCACGAATTACACAAGTATTAGCAGTTAAAAAGAGACAAATGTATTAATACCTCCATAATAGTGATCAGGATTGTGAACACCTAACAAACGTTCATTTCCTGCATTTTCAGCCCTTCCCCATTGTTGCTCACACGTAAGCTTCAATGCTTATAACGCTGTATTATCACTGTAGAGAGTTTAGATAGCCTTTTGTGCTGCTTTGCGATTAAACCGAAACTAACTTTTTTGTATATTTTAAAAGAAACTTCATATTTGATGACCTAACTTCAAGTACACCTAGTTTCACGCATCAAAAGTGTGCAATTCCATTTCATAGCTAAGTTCCGCAAAAATATAAATTTCTTCTTTCAAAACATAAATTGTTCAGTATTATTAATAGCCCATACAAATGAACAATCCTAGAGCCAGTTCTTTAAGAAAAACTTAAAATATTGCAAAGTTTAAAGTAAAATAAGAAATACTACAGTGAAAGACTAAAATATTACTATTTTTTGTGAAGCACGATGATTAAGTTTGCAAACAAAAGCAAGATCTCAATTTTTCATTCCTTAATTCTAGCATCAACTGGTATTCTAGAAAACTTGTTAGGCTTACATGATTCATATTTTATACATTGTCTTGACTGTTTATTTGGTTGGTTCATAACTTATAGTGAATGCACGTAAATTTATTACTTAGAAATTATAATTATTTCATTAATTACGCTATCGGTTTAACTTTTTTGGGGTTTTCAAACACGCTCTAAATTGATTTCAGTTTCAAACTTACATTCAAGAATTTTAAAAAGTGTCTTGATAATAACTAACAGGTTCGGTTGGATACAATTAGAACAGAAAACTGGTTTAAGTTTTTGCTATTATACTCTCACCTCGTAACAGGTTTTAAGGTGTAATGTACTATATAATTTATAAATTATTTATTAAAATGTCCGTGTTCCTACGTCTTATTTACTTCTAGGTGTGTCAAACATCATTAGTGCATTTTATAAAAATAAGAAACTGTGTGCTCCTATTTAAGTTGTTTGTTAAAAGCGAGACTTATACAAAGTGATTACAATTTTTTTAAATTATTAAATCATAAAAAGTACTTGTCCTAGAGAAACTATATATTACCAGATATCCATTGATGCTCATAAGTTTTGTCTATAAAAGTTTGGAAATGATACACGGTGTTTCCGAAACTGTCGTAGAGGATTTTCAATACACTTTCTGGCGTTCTTAGTTTGCACATATTGTATATCTGTAATTGAAGGTACTGTAAGCATAGAAGCACAGTTGTAACAAACAGTTGTAAACTCCTGATCTGTATGTATCAATCATTATGTACACCTGATGGTATTAGTTTAACCTGGTGAAACGCCGTGAGTTATAAACATAACTCCTGATCTGTATGTATCAATCATTATGTACACCTGATGGTATTAGTTTAACCTGGTGAAACGCCATGAGTTATAAACATAACTCCTGATCTGTATGTATCAATCATTATGTACACCTGATGGTATTAGTTTAACCTGGTGAAACGCCGTGAGTTATAAACATAACTCCTGATCTGTATGTATCAGTCATTATGTACATCTGATGGTATTAGGTTAACCTGGTGAAACGTCGTGATTTATAAACATAACTCCTGATCTGTATGTATCAGTCTTTATGTACACCTTATGGTATTAGGTTAATCTGGTGAAACGTTGTGATTTATAAACAAATATTAGTCATCATCTACACCTGATGGTATTAGGTTAACCTGGTAAAACGTTGTGAGTTATAAAAAGTCCTGTTCTGTATGTATCAGTCATTATCTTCTGATGGTATTAGGTTAACCTGGTGAAACGTTGTGAGATATAAACATAACTCCTGCTCTGTGTATATCAGTCATTATCTACACTTGATGATATTAGGCTAATCTGGTGAAACGTCGTGATTTACAGACACAATTTCTGGTCTGTATGATGTTTCATTATCTTCGCCTGATGATATTAGGTTAACTTGCTGAAATGTCGTGATATATAGACACTACGTCTGCTCTGTATGATGTGTCGTTATCTTCGCCTGATGATGATGTCAAGTTACCATAATGAAATCTGCTTTGTTGAAGTTATATATACATTTGTTTTGGTTTGTTTTTTTTTGTGCCAGACATAAACCGTTTCGTTACAGCTTTTGACTTACAGAAAACTAAAACAACCGCAATGTGTCAATCAAATCGTCGTCAAACTAC